TTCCTTCCCCCCCCCGCCATGCTCTGCTCTGCTCTCCTCTCCTCTCCAGGGTGCTGCTGCCTTGAATATTTTGGTTTTCTGCATGTTCCCAGCCTTGTTAAAACAGCACTTGTCCAATAAAGGAAAGAGGGAGGCTGGCCTGTGCGCTTGTGTGGGAAGGAGGGGTGAGGTGCTGTGTGGCCTGATAGGAGGGGGAGATGATGGAAATAGTCACAAGGGCTGGACCAAGAGGCCACTAGTGTCCTGTTGGAAGTGCCCTGGAATGGAACAGGAAAGAGAATGAATGGGGTCCCCGCTCAGCCTTGCATCTCTGAGCCGGGGGGGGGGGATGTGTGACTGAGCCTAGGCCCGGCTTATACACTTTAGCTTGCAGGGCTGCCACCTCTACTTCTTGTCCCACCCTGTGCTTGGAGCAGCCCTTGGGCCTGAGCTGTGGTAGCTGCCCTCTGCCAGATCAGGGCTGGGCATAACGTGCGCGGCCTCTCCCTTTCTTTCTCCTCCCCCCACCCCTCCTGTTAATAGGCTGGTACTGGGACAGCGGGGAGCCCAGCCCGGTGCCTTAGTGTGGTTGGTCTTTATTTCTCGCTGCTGCTGCCTCTCCCCTCCCCCCATTAGAGGGAGTGGACAAGTTGCCTTTTGGTATCAACGAGGGGCTAGTCAGCACCAGAAGGGGCAGGTTGGGCAAAGTCTGCTCTGCCCACGTGCCTGGGCTGTTTGTTCTGTTTATAGCAGGGACACGCGGTGGATTGTTTGTGCTCCGCCGGCCAAGGCCAGGCTGTTCTGTCTCCGCTTTGGTACATTTTGGCCCCAGACGTCAGTGCTGCCTGCCACAGCAGTAGCCCTGGCCCAGAGAACAGGGCGCTGGGGCTCAGCTGCTGCCCTGATAAATGCCTCTCATATTCCTTGTGCTTCCCCACGCACTCGGTCTGCGTTCTCCCGCCGGACAGGCTGTGCTGCAGCTCCCCATCCAATTGTCGCTGCCTTTCTACCTGGCGCCAGGCAAGTGTGCCAATGGCATGTATAGAAAAAGTATCTCAGGCTCTTACATTAAACCGGACTGGGCCAGCCGCTAGCCGGTCGTGTCTCAGCAGCACTTCTGTGCTGGCAGAGAAACCACATTTCGGTTCCTGGAACATATGGTCTGTGCCAGCCTTTCGGCCCAGTTCTGTTCCTCAGCCCCAGTGCAAGGCAGCAGGCACAGAAGTCAGGCCAGCTCTTCAGGTGGCTCTGGGGCCCGTGTGTTGAGAGCCTACCTTGGTTCGGGACTGCAGTTCAGGGCGCAAGTCACCGTAGGCAGGTACTGGTCTGGTTTGGGCTGGAGCTGGAGCTGGGAGCAAAGCAGGAAACGGTTGGGAGGACCAGGCTAGCCTCCATCCTTGCACTAACTGTAGCTGCAGCCTCAGGCCTCTCAGGCAGGCACTGGGGCAGAGGCATGTTGGAGGCCAGATGCCTTGTAAAACCACCCTCCTGGAACCGTGTCCTCAGTTCATCAGCACCACTTCATCCCTCGGGCTGGAGAAACCGAGTCCTGCCCCCCTGATTGCTGAGGGGAAATGGGACCACACATGCAAAGCAATTGAAGCTGCTGCCCCCCTCCTGCTTCTACACTTCCTCAATGGCGGAAGGCCAGTAGCAGGCAGGGCAGCCCCACCAGGCTGTTCCCCCCAATGACCCTCTTCAGGGTGTGAGCAAGGCCCTTGAAAGCCACAGCAGGGACCCATGTCCACCTTTGGAGGGTATGCCCAAGGCCCTCATGCCAGCACCCGCGCCGGATCTCTCCCCTCTGGCCACTGTCCTTGGTCTCATGTTACAGCAGAGCCCTGCAGGCTGTGGGTGTGGGATAGTCTATCTGGTTCTGCTCCCCCCTGCCCATCCCTCTTCAGGGAGCCTTCTCAGGAGCAGCTCCTGCAGGAGGTGTGACTGCTCCTTGCCTTGCGGGCGGTAGAGGCGGTTCCATGGGAGTTCAGGGGCAGGGGATTCTATGCCCATGACTTCCTCATCCTCAAAGCAACAGGAGCCCTCGTGTGTTGTTAGATCTGAGGAACAGCAATATGTGTATCAAGAAATCGCACTTTCCCATGAGTGTCTGGTCACCATTACCCCATCCCTGCAGGCTGGGGATGGGTACGTCGCCCTTTATGTGAAGGATGCTTATTTTCATCTATCGAACGTCCCTTTCCCCAGTCGGTTCCTGCGCTGTGTGGTGCCAGAGCAGCTTTACCAATTCTGGGTGTTACCCTTTGGCGCCTTGACCACCCTGAGCGTTGTTACCAAATGTGTGGCAGCCGTGGCGGTGCTCCTGGATGTTTGGTTTAGGTGAGATACGCTCTAGGCCAGGGGTTCTTAACCTTTTTACCTTCACACCTCCCCTGAAAGTGAACTTCATGTTCACACACACACACACTGACCCGTTTTGTGCACAGCCTAGCCCCGCCCCCTCACCTGACAGGAAGCTAAGGGGCGTGGCTAGGACTATAAGAACTCTGCCAAGGAGCTCAGTTGGGGGTCCAGCCTTAGAGGGAGACAGAGGTCTGCTCAGAACTTTGGGCCTCCCATGGCTGCCTTCCCTCAGGCCAGCGAAGGCTTCCCTGCCTGGATTGAACCCCGAGGCCTGCCTGAACCCTGGGACCTGGCAAACCAGCTGGACGCTGGATGCAGCCGTCCGAGCTAATTCCCAAGTCTGATGGCTGGTGGCGCTGTGGGGTGAGTGAACCCTGTTACGATGCCTAAATGAATAACATAAGCTTTTTACTTTGAACTTTTTCCTAACAAATTTGCATAATACATGAAGATGAAAGTCGGCAAAGCTCGCGTACTGTTATTGTAGTGTTGTCACATGGGCCTGATAGATGCGCACTGCTATTGTAGTGTGCCGATCTTTAGAAGTTAATACATTGTTTGTAACTTTAATTCATAATATTAATTATGAAGAAATATAAAACTTAGAATTTTATCTAGTGAGAAGGCAATTGCGATAAATTTTCTGGGAGGCACCTCACACCTCCCCTGGATTCCCTTCATACCTCCTCTGGGGAGGCCACCTCACTGGTTAAGAACCCTTGCTCTAGAGGCTGCGAGTTATCTTCAGTGCTCCCAAATCCACTCTAGTTCCTACCCAACGCATCGAGTTCCTAGGGATCTTGCTGGACTTCACGAGGGCTGGAGTGTCACTTCTGGAAACATGCTGTCAGGCCCTCAGCCCCCTCCTCCGAAACCTCCAGCAGCTCCCCATGACCATGGCTGGGATGTGCTTGAGACTTAGGGCACATGTTCACAGGCATGTGTGTCATTTAACATGCCTGCCTTTGCCTCTGGCCCCTACAGGCCTGGCTGACCCAGGTCTACAACCCGGGCAAGCACCCGGTGGGCAGGGGGGTGCTTCTGCCCCCTCATTCTACCATGCCAGGTCACTTGGAAGTTTCCATCTCCAAACGGAGCCCCTCACGGTCACTGGAGACAGACGCTTCCACCCGAAGGTGGCGCACTCACCTCCGCCCATTATAGACTCGGGGCCAGTGGTGCTTGGACAAACTACCTCCTCAGAAACGTGAGGGAGCCGTGGGCCGTTTGCCTGCTTGCTTGGTGTTGCGGGACTGCCTCTGGGGCACGTGTGTGGCGGTGTTCACGGACGACACCACAGCGATGTTCCACGTGAACGAACAGGGCCATGCTCGCTTCTCCCCTGCACCGGGAAGCCTGGCTGCATGCCTCGTTCCTCCCAGTGGTTCTCAGTGAGCTAGCAGACTCCCTCCGCCGCTCATTCTCCAGCCACGGGGGTCTCTTCCAGAGTTGGGGGTTTTCCCTACTTGTGACGGACACCAGCCACAGTGCCTTACATGCTGCTCTTCCCGGCTCCCTGTCAGATGTATTGTACCTCCCAGGGGCAGGCCAGATGGGTTACGTCTTGCCCGTTCCCCCTCATCCACAGGTCCTCGTAATCAAGGACCGGGCCTCCGCCACCCTCGTAGCACCCAGACACGCTGGTTCGCCTTTCTGCCCAGCTTCTCCAGGGACACTCCCGTAACCTCTCCTTGCTCTGGAGCACAGCAGGCTGCCATCCCAGCGTGTGGGGGCGGGCTGCACGTGTCCCGAGTGGCACCCAGAGCCGGGGCTCCAGCAGGTCTGTGCTCACCAGGCGAGAGGAGGGTCGGGCCAGTACTCGGTCCCTCGTGCAGGGAGACGTAGGAGCTGCATGTGTCCCTTCCTCTCTGGTGGCCGAGCAGAGGGCTGAGGAGGAGCCCCGCCCAGGTATCCACTTTGCTATCGGTGAAAGGTTCCTCGGATATGCAGGGCTCTGTGGATGGCAGCCAACCCCCCAGCTACACTAGCCTAATGGTTTTCGGTGTCGGACATTTAGCGGTTTCTTTGCTGTTCCATTCGCTGCCCAGGCTCAATCTCAGTTT